TTTATGTCAGCTCTGGCATGCATCTCATTTATGACACCTGAACAGCACCACCAGCCCAGCAAATAGAGAGGGAGAAGGTCCTTTAGGGCAGGTGCTTGGGGTTCAGGATGTTCCATCAGTCAGGAATCCAAATCTGTGGCATGCTGCTGTGGACAATGTGCTAGTACCTCAAATTCCATTCCTCACATCTGGCAAGACACCTACTGGAGTTGTTTTAAAATAATTCCCTATTCATGCTAAAGCCCCCTACATTTCTTAACACATTTTCACCGCTTTGTTTGCTGTACTTTCACTCAGTTCTGCATCCAGATAAGACAATAACTACTATTCCTTCACAAAGAAGTAAACACACCTCTTTGTCTAATGAGATTCTCATTTGCTTTACAGCTAAAAGGCTGCCAATACTTTGAGGGGGGTCTGACCATCTGCCTGCCAGCTAGGCTACCTCTACGTTACATTATATATTTATGGCTCTGTCCAGAAAGGGAGGTTTGACTGTAGTTCATTACAACAGGTGAAAGCCACTGAAATTTGCTTGGATCCCTTAGTACTGAGAATTATTCATGTCAAACAAGGGTGGGAAATAAGCTGTCATGTCTCTTGCTCACAGATATTTCTCCTTTAACTGTTTCAGAATTACATATTCCTGGGATTCCCAAACAGTAAGGAGGATTGGAAAAAACATTTTAAGCATCCTAAACTCAAGATTCAGAAGGATTTTCTGTAACTGGAATAAGAGAGTTTTTCTTCCTTTGATTTCTTTTCCTTATAACACCATGTTTACTTATTACAAAAGGGATAAAAAAACCCCAGAAGCCAAGACAAAATTTTAAGATTCGGTGCAAAGAATAGATCTATTGCCCACAAACTACAAACTCTTCTAGTAGCACAGATATTTCAGAGAGATCCAGAGCCACAACATAGTATCCAATAATCACCACTCACAGAGGCAAGCTCAATGCTTGTTCTCATATGACCCGTACTGAAAGCTATAGAAAACTCTATGGTTCATGAAGGAAAAAAAAAACCAAAACAAAATGAAACCAAAAACCTGCAGTGTAGTTTTGCCATGAAAGCCTGGACCGCATTCAATGATTGGATCTCTCTCTTACTTTATCATGAACCAAGGTGAAGTCCACATTATATAAAGACCAGGATTTTTTTTCCCTAGAAAGTATCTGGCAGTTGAGAAGAACTTCCCGAGAGCAATTCAACTGCAGATTACAATGGTCCTCTACAACAAGGTTTGCACTTCTTCTCCTTGTCAGTGTTTTACATTTGCGTGCCAATTTTATCTGTGAAGATGAATGAAGCCTTTTGAACCATTCCTCATTCAAAATACTCCTGTCTGAACAAACATATCTAAGACCTGACAAAGAAGGGGATACCTCACTATGCTACACTCTGCAGGCAAAATAAGGAAGTTCTGGGATTCCATTTGATTCTGTGGAAATCTGAGCATGGGGAATGGAATTAGGAAATCTGCCCCTGCAAAAAGGAATAATTTTGTGATTAATGAGGATTAATTCAACAGACTCTCCTTTTGACTGAAACCACCAATTTTCATGCACTTTAAAAATCTTTCTCATATTCTGAGGCTATATGGTCAGACTAAATGATCTGAAATTAAAAATACTGAGCTCTACCGTCATAAGTAATGAGTGGTATTGGAAATGCCTTCTAACTAAACTGTAAACTTGCTTGTCTGTTGCATACCAGTAAAGCACATAACAAAAACAGAAGAATAACAAGAAATATCTTCTAAAACATTTTTTTTTCTTATTTAAAAAAAGCAGATGAGTGTACTTTGCAGTGTTATCAGTCGTTTTTAAAACTTCCCTTACTTGGTCCAAACAACAGAGACCTTCAAGATTCAAACAGACAGTGGTTTCCTTGTATGTCCTGAGACAGTTCCCTCATGTGTGTTTGTGCCATACACCTCAGGCAATTAAAACGCAAATGCTCTGATGAACTTACTTGTCTACCAAACCAGCTACTCAAACGCCTGTTAGATTTGCAAGATACCCCTACGAATATTTAGAGTAACGTTCTTCTCTTTACAGTAGGCCTTGAGTACTATGGAACGGGTTACCAGATACGAAAGGCTTTGCTTAGTCCTTCAGGTTTCTGCACAGATTTAAGCATCCTCAGTATCAACAAATGATAGCCAACAAACTATGAAAGCCTGACGGACAGTGTTGGATTGTGTCTTAGAGGTGCCAACATAAGTGGCATCCTGTCCAGACACCTCTGAAGCCCACAAATCAATGGCACTCAAAGAAGGAAGTCAGACCTTCCAACAGACCTCTGCTTGTATGAACAATAAGATGAAAGGGCTTATCAATTTAGAGATGCAAACAGGAAAAAAGCTTCCAATTTATCATGGTAAATTTCTGGAATGGTAATGTGAAATTGCATTAAATTAGTTATGTGATGTCAGATTAATCCTTAGATGATCACAGGGGCAGGTTAAAATAGTATATGTATTTTTGCTGATTAAGGTAATAAGAAAGACCAAAATGTGACTTATTCCAGAGGTGAAAATCATCCAGCTTCATTACAATAAGCAACATACATATCCATAATTGTGAAAAGACACCACACAAATAAAGTAGAATAGATCCTTAAGGGTTGTCACCTCCACCTCCTCACAGAATCACAGAATGGCTGAGGTGGGAAGGGACCTCTTAAGATCATCTAGTCCAATGTCTCTGTCCTTGTCTAGACCAAGCAGGGTCGCCTAGAGCCAGGATAGGAACTCCACAATTGCTTTGGACTACCTATTTCAGTGTTTGACCATTCCCACAGTAAAAAATCCTTTTCTTGTGTTCTGGGAGAATTTCACAGGTTTTAATTTGTGTCTATTGCCTCTTGTCCTGTCACTGGGCATTACTGAGAAGAATCTGGTTCCCTCTTCTTCATTTCATCCCATCAGCTATTTACACACAATGATAGGCTCCTCCTGAGCCCTCTCTTCTCCAGTTGAACAGTGTCAGCTTCCTCAGCCTCTCCTCACATGAAAGATGCTCCAGTCCCTTAATTCTCTTCAAGACCCTTTGCTGGACTCATTCCAGCAAGTCAATGTCTTTCTTGTACCTGGGAGCCCAGACCTGGAAACAGCACTCCAGATGTGGCCTTACCAGTGCTGTGTAGAGAAGATCTTTATGCAACAAAAGTAATAATCAAAGCAAGACAGGGTCTGAGGAGTCAACTCAACGATGAATTGAAACTCCAAATTGGAGTATTTTATTTTATTATGATACCTCAACACAATGATCATACAGTAACTCCAACAGTAAGTTCTTCCATTGCATTGAATTAATCCAAATTCATTCATACCTAGAATCATCATGATCCATGCCAGGAACTAAATATAATTAATCTGTTTCTATAAAAATCTTCTGCAAAAATCTACATTACAATGACATTAATATTTCCAAAGTAATCACCTCCAGACTATTTAATATTAATATGTCGTATAGTATCACTACACTACTAGTCTTCGCAGAGTTTAGGAACAAGAAATATATATGTGTATATATCACTGCTCAGGATGAAAAGTAAAGACGGGCACAAGTATGGGGTGAATTAGTGTGACTACAGAACTCCATGCAGTTTCACCTGGTTTTGATACCAAAAGACACTCTTCCACATAAATATACATTTGCACTCCAACTATATTTCTCAGAGATCGCCACGGAGATATGCAATGGAAGTTAACATGATCATCATCTCTACAAAACAAATTCTACATGGAGTAAAAAAGGATGTAAGATATCTTTTCCCTAAAAGGATCAGTCTGAATTTTTATATACTGTTTCTTTGTGAAAGATCCAAATAAAGCAGATCAGGAACCATTTTTGACCAGTTTAAAACAGCCCTTCTAAAAAAAAAAAAAAAAAGTTACCACCATTGATAGAACAGACCTCAAAATCTGCAGAAAAGCAAACTTCATTGCTACCATATGTCCATGTCTACTAATGTGCCATCCTCTGGCGTAAGACAATTAATTCTCCTTGTCCCCTCCGAAATCTCCACTGTATGTTCCATACATCCATTTCATTATTGTGCACAGCACTAAGCTCAGAATAATTAAAATGCAGGCACTTTAGTAATGCCATTCATTTAACATAGCCATATTAAACTCTACAAGGGTTCAACTTAATTTACCTCTTAAATAAGGCTTGAATTCTGAAAAGATATTGGAACATATCAATTAATTGGGACTCTCCTCCAGAAAATTACTTCACTGCTCAAACCTATGTTTTCTGAAACTTTCTGTAACTTTGTGCAAGCTTTATTTAAGGGGATTAGACTTTGGAGGCTTAACTATTGCTGGTTTAAAAAAAAATCCACTATAAATTGCTAAAACTTAATAAAAACATTTTGAAAACACCAACTGAAAAGTTGTAGTCAATTAAAAAAAACATTAATTCAATAATTGAGCCTCAATTTAGCCTTCTCCTTTAATTTTATTCCATCTGTATATTTTGGGGTATGGTTTGTTTACTTCTTTCATTGCACAGAAATAGCTGCATAATCAGTCACTGAACTGATTGCAAGAAAATTGAGCTGATAACCCTGTTATATATCATCTGTAGTTAATATCTTATAAATTTATTAAAATGTTATTTTTAACATATATGAATAAAAGTAAAAGACAAAAACAACTGGAGTCTGCAGTGTGTGCTAGCAATCATTGCGGGTGGGTAAACTGACAACATGTAACTGCATATTAAGACAAATGTAGAATTTAGACAAAGTATTCCATCTCTTTTCAGATGTATACTTTTAAACCTCAGGAACTGTTTTCAGTAGATGTCATGCCTTTTAACTTGAAAAAAGATAAGCGCAAATAAGCTCCCAATTGTCTCCCCAATATGTAAACCACATCTCGGGCTGCTGTCTCTGTTTCGCCTTTGAAGTTTCCCTGAAATGTCATGTGTTGTGAAGACTGCTGTGCATAAGCAAGACAATTTGCTCACTCTCAGAATTCTTACCGGTTTCCACTGCTATTTGGTATCCAGCCTCTAGTCTCCGAGATGACCTTTCCAGCCTCTCTGTGTTATCGAGCAGATGTGCCCTCTGAAAAAGAAAAGGGGAGAGAGAGGGGGAAAAAAAAAATCAGGCAGCAGTCTACAATGTTCTCCCCCCCTTTTTAATTGTGCTTTCATATTCCAAAACATAAGAATATCCACGTATATTTTATGGAAGAGCCTGTTACAAGGACCACTGGAAGGGGCAGGTTCTATGATCAGTCATAATTAGATGTACCAATCATTTTTGTTTTGAAACATGGAATACGTGCTTCACTCTTATTACATGAACTCACAAAATAGAATGCGACTATTATATGGAAAACCTGTCTGAAGAGCATTTCCAAAATACATTTCCATGTGACACATGTATGCAAGCACCCATGATTTCTATTCAACTAGAGTTTGATGAAACCATCACTTTAAATGCGAGTGGTAGTTTTTAACATGAACTTAATTTTCAGCAGAGGCTACATTTCCTTTATGTGTACTACTCAAGTGAGGTGATAAAAACAACGAGCTATTCATACAGAATACTGAACAGCATGAATATTCTTCAGACTGTTTGATGTAAAAAGATGTAGAAACAAAACACTGGTTTCTTGATTTACATCTCTTATGCCTAAATATATATGTGAATATATAAATAATATACACAGACAGAGGTATAAGATATTTTTCCCAGAAGTCATTTGCCCATTTATGAGATAACAATAAACTCTAGTAAAAATGCGTCTTCCAATACATTTTCACTTGGGGCATCTGTAACAGTGAAAAAGTGAAATTATTATTTTCATTAGTTTATTCTCCATCCAAAATGCCAGTATTTCAACACATAAGCTCATTTCCTTTGGAAATTTGATCCTAGTCTAGCTCTAATCAAGCCATCAAAAAACAGATGCCCCCCCCCCGCCCAATAAAGTAAACACACACACCTTTCCGAGCACCCCTTTACCCAAACCCAACATTTTGGATATTTGCCAAAAAATATTTCCTCGAACTTTGCCTTGTTGACAGATGTCATTTAAGAATTGAAGAAATGCTTTCTAATAATAATAAAAAAAGGAGGTGCCATACATATTATCTGAGTGGCTGTCTACCGAAACGATCTACCTTGCTCTAATGAGCCCCTATGGATCTTGGGAGATGCAAGCTGTATTGACATGCACACTTAAGCTAATACACCTAGACCAGTGCCTCCAAGCTCTAGCAGCCAGGGATGCTGACAGAATATCTCGCTTCTATCTTCAAAGAAAGGAAGTGATTAGTATGTTATCATTACCATTCAAAACGTGATTTCCCTATTCCCTCCCGGCATAGGTGACACATCTCTGAGATGCGGCCAGACGATCGAGGCAGCTAAAGCCACATCAAAGCTTGCCTTGAATTTTTTTCTTTTTTTTTTTCCTCTCTCTTTTTTTTTTTTTTCTTTTTGGAAATCATTAAAACAATGCATTTAGATCAGCACAGATAGGACCCAATGTGAAGGTCAGGAAAGCTGCAATAACAGTCTATAATAATTAATAGAGTTGTCTAATACACAGTGGATAGGTTAAGAGTAAATTGCAAAAAAGCCTTTTGCATTCATGGGGGGCAGGCCACCAAGAAAAAAAAAAAAAACCCTCAGCACAGGCACTTCATAAAATTTAAAACCATAAGTTACAATGCTGTAATTGAAATCACGACAGCAACTAGAGTGGTGCATGTTCTTAGTACTCATGGTCAATCTAGATAATTAGTGTTAATTTTGCTTGATTTTTTTTAAAAGGCACCTTTTCATAACATCTGCTGGTTCCTCTCCATTGCCCATTAGAAAGAAAAAAAAAAAGAAGTGTAAGCCTGCAGTGCCTTTCTCCAAACACTGCCCCCCCGCATGGTATTAAAGAACAATTAGTGTTAAATATTTTAAACTTTGTAAAAATCATCAGAAACCTAACACTATTACACAGATGTCTCTCAAGAAAGAAAAGTAGAAGAGAAGGGGGATGGGGGGAAATAAAGAAGGAGTTTAGAAGGTAAGTATCCTAAAAGTTAGAGAGAAGATACTAAAAAAAAAAAAAAAAGAAACAACATAGGCTGGGAGTGAGCACAAGGCGTAGAACATTATAATTACAGAACAGATGTATAGTGCTGTGGTGGTGCACTGGAAATGAAAAGACTATCCTGCTATGGTACGGGAGAGGGGGGGAAATAATCAGATTTCACATTACAGTGTGGAAGAGCTACCCAACAGAAAGAATTAGCATTTAACTGTGTATTTTTATACACCATATAAGCTACATTTAATCTAAAAAGTAAATTACAAGCCCACAGTTTAGTTCAGTCTTACTGCAAGCAATTAGAATACTAAAGCCCTGTGAACTCGGTGCTAACATTAACTCAGAGCTGTTTCTTACTTGATTTCAGACCCTTTCCATCCAAGGCATTCTATAGCAAAACGTGATTTTTATTATAAAGGGCGGCGTTATTTATGTTGTTTGGGTTTGGAGGCACCCTGTCCCTTGGCCAGGAAATCCATGCAGTAGCAGCTGATGCTTTCAACTGCTCCCCACCCCTCCCCAAACTCCTTCACCCACAGTATCCCCCGCGCTCCGTGAGGTGGGTAGCGAGGTGATTCAGTGCGTCTTGCAGCTTCAGAAGCAGCTTCTATCTGGAGTTGTGTAAGGAAGTTTTGCAAAGTGGCATGCTATCACTAGAGATTTAGTCATTCCATGTGGGCTGGATTCAAACTGAGAACTCAGGAGCTCAAAAGACAGAGCGACGCAGCCTCCATGGAAGCCTGTGTACGGCAAGCGGGCTAGAACAGAGCCCTGGAATGAGAGGAAGCGCGGGTTCTATTAACAAACAGTATGGCAAACCACAATTTCTTTTAAGATCAGTTCATACCTCCTTAGGAGAACTATAATTGGGGATTCCTTGATGTTTCACTGTGCGACGAGTTAAGAATCACGGCTAAGTCACTGTAGTAGCCTTCATTTAAACTTTAATGTGCGTTTTGCATTGGGTATAAAAACACCGCTGCAATTACAACCTATTCAACACATAGTGCGTACCTAAGTGCAGGCAACAGAATGCTAGCAATTGTTTTTTTAAATTATTTCTCTCTCTACCTGTATAATTTTGATCTAGACAAAATAAGAAATCCCTTTCTTTAGTTCTATTTGCTGCAGCTCTCACAACATGCAGAGAGAGGAAAAAGTAACTTATGAAGGTAGCAAGGAAAAGAGAAAAATTACCAGAACCTATGTCAAAATTTTTTAGGTGGCTAACAAAGAGGATTTATAAGCTCCAAAAGGTATGACTGAGTTCAGTATAGCTCCCAAGTTGCAGCCCTTTGCAATACCATCCTGAATTTTCTTATTTGCTTTCATAGCTACTTCGAAAAGAAGAGCAGTTAAGTAGCAGCTTTGTTCTTTATATCTGATTCAATTTTCAGAGTAAATTTACAAATTAGGAATCTTTACGTTTATAAAACCATAATCTATGTTTGCAAGCAAAAATGATCCTATTGCATTCTTCTACAAAAGCACAGGAGCAGACATGCAGGTGGTGTTAAAGGGATGAGCAAATGAACCCTGTCCTTCTGAAAAATCTCAGAAATCAGGCTATGCAAACCCTTGCAACAATATTGTCATCTCTTTAAATACTGGAACTGTTGGGGAGGGGAGCTCAGCAGTGGTGGGAGGGCTTTTATGGGGTTACATGTTTATTTTGTTTAATTTTTTTTTGTTAACTGTTTTATTCTGTAGCCTTAACACATTAATATCAGCTCCCTCCAGAAGAAGGAAAAATAAAGCATTCAGGGAACTAGTGAAAGAATCTTTATATCACAAATATCTTACTGTTTTTAAGAATTCTCTGTAATTGTCCTTAATCTGGTTACTTTACAATTCTTTGTCATCACCATTTCTAAAACTTACAAATCCTTTCCTGCAGAGCTCAGTATTCATTACTGATATGTCTGAGCACACGTTTCAAAAAGAAGATACCAGACAAATATGTGATGTTAAAATACTTGTGCTTCTAAATGCATTTATTCAAATACTTCACTGGTTCAAACTCTCCGTACGAAACCCTTCAGAAATCTGACCTCTAAGTAATCTTGACTTTACTGAAACCTTCTTTTTGGTGGCTATCAGGAAATAATAATAAAAAAAACCCCAGTTCAGATACCTGCTTTGCTACAGCAGTAAGTAACAGAGGAGATTAATTTCAGAAAATATACTGAAAAACATTTGAGGAACTGACCATTAAAACAGGCTTCTCTCTCTAAATATTTATGAGTCATTTTATAACTGGAAGAAAGGTGTTCTGGAATACTGATCTCTAGTGTTACACCTACAGATCTACAGCACTCACAAATAAATAATAAATATTGATGTGTGCACGTAGGTCTACCTGTACTGTATTTTCAGTGGGTATACAATATCCAAATAACACATAAGCTACCTGAACACCTCACACCAAACTCACAACGTTGTGAAATACTGAGTAATTTTTACAGTGCTTCAGCACAGGTTTTTACCAAAGCAATGCTTTCACTTCCAAGTATATAAATGTATTTACCCTATCAAAGATTTTGTGATGCAAACATGATTATTACTGTACCTGATTTGATCATGGTATTCTAGCAGAGATCAAATAATAGGGTTTTTTTTTTCCCCCTTCTTTTTCTAGTGCCTTTAAAAAAAATTTCCACTATCAAAGAATGTTAATTTCTAAGGTTTGATCTAGAGACTCCTATGTAAGTATACAATTATTAGGGAAAAAGAGGCACAACAGTGAATATTTTAAAGCAATGTAATCAATATTTTTGCTTTGTGTAGATTTCCCTGCAACAATGAACAAAAAGATCTACTTCAGATTTAGAAACTCAGCTTTAAAGGGAAAGCTAGACAACAAAAAGCAAGAAAGTACTCACCTCTTCACGTAATTTTATCAACTGCAACATGAACGCACAAAAAAGATAAAAAGGAAAGAAATGGCAGGAAAGAAAGATCAGTTGTGTGACAGGATACAGAATTAACATTGACAATTTATCTGTTTACA